AAAATGTCCCGAACTGATGCGGGGCGCAGGAGATCCGCATAAATCATGACAGCATCAACCATGTTACATGCGAGACGACTCAGCTCTCGCCGTAAAATACATCTTTCCGATTTGTGGTCGGCCGCATCCGCCCGCGCACTGGACCAACACCGAACCGAACCGAACCGAACGAGACGCAACGCGACGCGACGCGACGCGATGCGACGCGATGCGACGCGACGCGACGCGACGCGCCGCGCCGACTAGGTCCGAAAGCCAGCGAAGACGGCCGAATATACTCGTATTACGTTCACGCGACGCATCGGCTCAGCCGCGCGCTTGGCACGTCCGTGTTTCGCTTACGCGCGTGCCGCGAGATACGTCGTCGTCGATCGTCGTCGTCGTTCTCATCGGCACATGAGCGTTAACCGCGTCGTCTTCGATCGTAAATACACGCGTCCTCGATTACGAGCGATTACGTGTCATCTTCGAACCGATATCGAGGTATCGTCGGTAACGCGCGCGATCGTCAACCTCGAGCCGACTGCGACTGCGCGCGATTGAAGGTATTTATGAACATACGTGAACATCCGACGCATCCGACTCGTCGGCGTCGGCGTCGCGTCGCGTCGTCGCGCACGAGTACGTTTTCAAATATACGCGCGCTGTCGGAATGCAGCATTCTCAGCGACGCGACGAATTAGGATCAGTGAAAATTATCCTTTTTTTCAAGAGAATGTAACTTATTGAGACGAACGTCTGTCTCGTAGTGTGGAAGGAGGTGTCGTGCGGGAAACTCGCGAGAGTGCAGAGTGTAAAGCAAATTATAATCAGTCGCGAATTAATTAACGGCGCGCGATTCATCGATATCTATGTAGGAGCCGGCTAGGCGCAATTACGATTCACTTGTGGAAGATCTTCGTGGAAGATTCTTGTGCTCGACGTGCGTCGGATGGACCGACCGCGAGGAAGAGCAAACCTCTCGAGAGAGTGTACGCGCGCGTCGTGTGGCGCGTCGCGACGTCGAGTTTGCGCGACGCGGCGCGTCGACGGTCAAACCGAACGTTGAGGGACAGCGAGACACGGACGAGCGGCAGCTCCGTTTGCAGCCAAGGAATACCTTGACGCGACTCGTTATGGATTTCTACCCGATGGTAAGTGCTCCTGCTTATTAATATAATAAATGTCGTTTCCCTTCTTGATACTTGCGCGATTAAGCGAAACCGCGCGCGCTTTAAAAATACGCGTTCTCTACATAAGGAGATATTAATTTCCCGTCCATTGCCATTGCGATGAGAAACGCGTCGTTAAAGTCACTGAGTCATATCTTGTTCCACGAAATTTAATCGCGTTCGGCATCGCACGAACGCTGAAATGTTCCTAGCCAAAAAGATACATCACAGCCTCCCAAATTATTCATCGCGTCCATTAATTTATTTGGAGAATAAATGATACTTGAATTATCACTCTTCGAGTAATAAAACGACATGCTGGTCAACTATTATTAATAGTTCCTCTACAGCAGAAAATTTGCAGCAATATTGCAGAGATTTTGTAGCGATATTGCTGCGAAATTCTCTGCTGTATGGGATTTGATCTCATATTTATACTTGGAAATGTTGAGTCTTGAATCGACGTGGCTCTGCAGAGCATTTTATGAGTCAGCAATGAAGACATTTGTCATTATCGCGGGCAAGAATTCGATTGAGTCTGTAGACGCTTATTATGTCATCAAGACTAATACGTACAATGGATGCGCAAGTATCGGCCGACGCCGCTGTGTATCTCGCTCTCGTATTCCCGTATAACCGCGAACGGAATGATAATGGCCGCCAGTAATTTACGATCCCTGGAAAAGATCATTGCAGACGGCGGCGCGTTCGTGCGCCGTTTATCACGAACGATCGACGTTACGCAAAAACGGCTCGACTTTCAAAAAATTGCCTGTCGGCAGTCTAATCGAACGCGTCACGTTCTTTAATTGCATTGCACCGAGACGCGGGGAAACAAAGACATCCTCGGTGACATCCGCTATTGAGAAATATATCCTCGAATTATTTCAACGAAAATTCCCTTCGACAAAATTGAATCGTTATGCAATACATAAATATATCTCAAATTACCGATTTTTATATTAAACATTTTTGTAATTAATTCATAAATAAAAGATTCATAAATAGAGAAAAAGGTGATGAAGGTTTCTTTCACGTACACACAATCCGGTACACACAATTCTTTTTTTTATATATATCTTTTTCATCGCGCTTCTGCATAATTACGGAAGCAGAGGAATAAAATTATTTCGTTTCGAATGATAAATAAATTCGCTCATTATTGTGCACGATCCACGCGCGTGGATCATCTTGTATGCATTCGCTGCACGACGACAGATTGCAGCCTAACAAAGGAACAGCCGTCGAGAGCGTCGGGTGGAAGGTCAAGATCGGGGCTTATTCGCTTCGAAAATGGAAACTCGCATTCGTGCAACGTCGCAATTCGCAATTAATCGCAAGGGGGCCCGGTCGTAACGTCACGTCCACGGGACGAAGCGACGCTCATAATCGTGCAGAAATAACCCGTAGGAATTTAACGCGCGCGCCGTCTTGCCAGCGTCCGTCTGTCCAGAGACTGCAGTCGAGAGTCGACGATGAGGTCTTTGGGTTAAGCATCGCGGATAGCGATCTCTCGACCGTGGGCATTAGCATAATCTTTTAACGCGCGCGTTCGTCTCTCCAAGGGGAACTCGCTTGAACGTTGCAGAGTGTCCGGCTTCTCCGCAGTTACATACTTATTCGCATTAACGTGCACCGTCGTCGTCGTCGTCGTCGTCGTCGTCGTCGTCGACTATTATTTCGACCTTACCGCGCATTCCTCATCGCGATTACTACCTGGTTTTTGCTTCCTTCTCGCGGCGAAGTCCTTGGAATCGCGAATGAAGTCATTTCAAGAGGAGAGGAAAAGTGGCACCGGCGAAATCGCTCACTTTTTTTTACTGCATCGATGCACGACGTCGTTACTGGATGTGCGATATGAGTCGTCTCGATAATCGTAAACGAAGTCCGTGTTAGAGATTGAAGATTGAGATTAAGATTGCGTTATAAATGAAGATTCATTCAACGCTACAATCGTGACGGTCTACATTGACAATTTGAGTCTCGTTTGAGGGTTTTATACGTCTCCTCCTCCTCTCCTTTCTCGAGTCTTGATTTATATCGCATTTATGTGGATTTATAGAAATATAATATAATAAATCACAGTATTAAATAAAAGTCATAATATTGATTAATGTTAGAGATACTAAAGATTAAACGTTTCTATTTTATCTTTATTTATTTTAGTCTCTCATGGATCAAGGCTTAATTTAAAAATCGCCCATTCTGAGTCATCTCAATTTTTCACGTGCGGTATACTTGATAACTGTTTGAATACGATTCAATGTAAATATCTTCTTTCTTGGACTTCTCGAGGAACACTTAATAACGCGTTTTAAAACGTACTCTTCCATAAATTAACCCGGATATATTCTAATTTCTGTACGTGGGTGGTCGATTATCATTGCATCCTCATTCGTTGCTTCCCGTCATCTCTCGAAAGCGTGATTCGTTTCTTCGAGAGACGCTCGTGGCTGGAAATTTACGACATACAGGACATGTCCAAGTCCCTGGATAATTTATGACCGCTTTCTTAAAACGATGATCCCGAACGCTGAAGCGTGCGCATAAATGAGAATTGATTATGGTCTCGCTCGCGCGCGCGTAAACACCTAAGAGGCACGAGATTGTTTAAATCGATTTCGCGCTGATTGCCTGTTCCGAGATCGCCTCCGTCCGACACGCGCAACGCGTCCCCTAAAAATTATATGTATAAATATACGAACACGCAACGTGATACTGCGCTTCAAAGATTTACGATGATCCAAATGACAAGTGGACACGCCAATGTAATGAGCCTAAAGTGTCGTTCGATGTAGCCTGACTTCGTAATGACTTGAACGAAGATACTTGACAAAGATGACGCGTCGTGAGAAAATTCTGCAATAAGGATGTACATACAATATAATAAGAATGTACTCTCTAAATGAGATTTACTCGAAAGAATTTAGAAAATACATAATATTAGATAAAAATTTATTAAAAAATGAAGAATTATATATATATATATATATATTGAAATATGTGAAATTTAAAGTCTGTAAAATCTTGTAAAACGTCTGTGCATTCGACTTGCATTAATTCATTGAATATAGATAGATGTTAAATGTGTATTCATCAGAATGTAATTTTTATTTTATGGTATGTTTCTATCAAAATCGTATTAATTTCCTTAATTAATTCATAAGAATGAATTTAAAGCATAACACAAACTTTCTCTTTTACAATAATGATAAACAATGCAAGAAATTTCAATATTATAAACAAAAGAAAAAAAAAGATATAAACTCTGCTGAATCATGTATTTCTCTTTTAAAAGTATGTACAATATTTTGTGTCGCATGATCATCGCGATTAATTAAGTTACTTGAATAAATATGAATTAACAAAGCAATAATTAGGTCGCAATATATGATACGAGAAATAATTTGTAAATCGCAAGAATAATCTATAGATCTTCTGGACGTGCGGTCGAATATTGATCGCTTTAGAAAGTATAATGTTTCAAAAGCAGGATGAAGGAACAGCTCGGGATAATTGGTGCTGATAAATCAGGCATGGTCCATGATTGCCCGCGCGATTTCAAATAAACTTGTTAATTTATGCACTTTAACAGCAGGAGGACGTACAAAGTGCATATTAATTAAGTAGCGGATCATATGTTTTAAGATATAAATAATATGTGACTGAAGATATGAAAGTCGGCCGCATAACGTCGAATATACCATTTTATTTTCAACGTATTTACAATTATAATTAATTTTACGAATTAAATTTTATTTATTTAACATAAAAATCAGTAAAACAGTAAATACTAGATTAATTAATTTTAATAGAGGAATCTCGAATTGATTTTTTTTTTTAGTTGTCATAAATTGTATGTAATATCTGAATGTTTTCGTGATAGATGAAGATTAAAAATTTATTGAAACGTAGTTGAGTATATACGTAGTAAATTCAAACCGTAAATGGCAAATCGCAACACAGCCTAATTTGAAACGATGCCATTTTGCTGGCGCTATTCCTCCCGTGAAAGAACGAGTCTTCTTATTGCCCATTCGGATGCTTTCCGGCTAGCTTTTTGCTATATTTGAAATTCTCCAGCGATTCTAGACCTATGTTGCGCGTGACGAGACTGCAACGGAAATCCTTCGATGAATGAGACTTTTTTCTCTCGTGGCTGACCGTTTCCATGTATTCTACAAGAATTGCATCATGACTGCCATGATAGTGGAGATGTAGTGTGCCGATATTATTATTGTACGATATTATTATTTTATTACAAAGTTTCAAAATTAAATAGCTAATTGTATGTGATACTATATAGCTAATTATATATCGAATGTGTTTTATGTAAACATCACGAAAAAAATTTACATTACAACTTAATTGATAGTAATAATGCAAGACAATTAAGAAATGATATCATTAATCCTGTTCTTTTGCCGGTTCTTTAGAAACGTATAAAAAACATACAAGAGAAAAAAAATAAAATAACTATGTTTGGTACGCTAAAAATATTTCTCAAGCAAGAATATTATTATTTCTTAAATTTGTAGCGATAGAACTTCTTACCGGAAAATAAAGAGAGAAATGTCTTATTTGTTACATTTGGCGTATTCCATTGGCAAGATTAGCTGCAAAAGTATGATGTGTATTTTTCCTCGACATCAGATTTAGCTACAAACCATTCTTAGTCTTCTTATATTGAAATCCTCTTACCTAGCAAGTTTGAATGTACGGTATTGACGTCTTTTCGCAGAAAATGAAAAAATAGAATCTTCGTCTTTCAGCAACGCGAATTTGTGTGTGTTAGCTGTGCACATTCTGAAACTAAAAACAAAAGGAGAATAAGTTCCGCAATTAAGACTGCCTTTCTTACGTTTACCAAGAAACTGTTTAAAATAAACCATAAAAAATTTATAAATTTATATTGTATAATTAAAAACAGCAAAATCATATTTTACATTGTACTTTCAAAATAATGAAAAATAAACATAAATATTATAACAATTATTAGAAAGTTATAAATAATAATAGTAATAAATATATTTCCCTCACAAAATCATACCTATATAAAAGACAGATTTTATAACAGCATAATAAAAGTCAACATTTGATTGAAATATTATTTGAAAACTTATTTCTATCCGTCTTTTAGCAATTAAGATATGTATTTCATATTTGTCACTAAAACAAGGAATATTAAAATTTATAATTACTAAATAATTGTCAATATTTATGTTTGCTTTTTGCTTAATTCGAATTATTGTGAAGCAGCGCAAAAAAGGTGGAAAATAAAGTGTTCACTGCGAAACCGATGGCGATCAGCGTCTTCGACAGACGATCGACAAAGGCAATCACGTGTGCGGCGACATTTATACACGACACGATACGTACGTGTATACGTGCGTATATCGTACGCGTGTGCGTAGTCTCTTGTCGCCCGTGTTCCGTTCGTACTCCGTGCAAGCGTCTGTGGTGAACGATGGCGAGAAGGTTGAGGAGAGCGGACCCGTATGAATGGGGGCTTCATTCACGTAGCCGTTTCTCGCAACATGATCACGCGGCTTGTGTCTCGCCTTCCGATTTTATTCGCGTATCTTCCGTGCAAACAATGGCTCAGCTTTACAAAGGGCCGACGCATCGGCGTGACTGGGCAATTGGCTCGCACAATCTATAGCGCCTCACGATGAAGCTCACTGTTGGTTCTATTTAACTTTTCATATTCTGCGAAACGATTAAAAAAAATATTATAGTAAACAAAATCAAACCTAAACTAGACTCCATCAGCAATTTTTTAAAATCTTTTAACTACTCAACTACTAACATAGTCTTTATGATACATTTCGTAATAAGAAATTTGTAAAAGAAAATTTCTTCAATAATTTAATATGAATAGCCTCGTAGACCTCATATCTTTTAGCCTATATTTTTCAAATTTTTCTACACATTTTTTCCTGCCGAGAAACTTTTCAAAAAACTGCACTCTGCATCAAATCGGGCAGCGATCAATGCGACAGATAAAATCATCGCGGTCCCTTTTTCGGGATGGCGAGGATGTATATGATGTGGTGTACCACGAGACATAGCATAAATACTCGATCGCGGACCCGATTTTATATCGGATCTCGATCCATCCGTCTGGTCGTTATTCCTCGCTCGAAGGCTCGTCTTTATAAGGAGTAAGGGCCGCTTACGCGCCGGCATGTAACGCAGGTATTCATATCGGATCGTTTTCTCTCTAGCATTTATCTCGGCCAGCCGATCCTTGGGCGAGACCTAAGTACCAGATCGGTTTGATGAATAGTTCGTGCGATGTACATAGACCACGTGGGTGGAATTACGGGCGATTTTGCCACGTCGATTTCTTGCAATGTACGGTACAGGAAACGCATAACGCGATATACATTTTACGATTTACCTTTCTCCTAACTCTTTTCTCAGTCTAAAGAGAATTCTACTTTAGTTTAAACAAAATCAACGTTCGCTCGTGAGATCGCTCGATCATTTAGCCGGACATTCAACCGAGTCGTTCTAAACTTATGATCCAAGCGTGAAAACGTCGCATCATAGATAAGGAAAGTTGTGCTGTATTTCATCGTGAATTTGTTTCCGTTAAGAAATAACGCGATGGGAATTACGATGATTCCACCAGATTTAATGTAACGTAAAGTGGAGAAAGTTATCAGATGTGGCTTAAGAGCGGAGCAAATTGCCATTTCTTTTAATGATCAAATTAAATGACTATACTTTTTTCATACACTTTTTCTTATATGTATTATATATGTATAAACAAAAATATTTTTATTTATTTATTTATTAATGTAAACAGCGTGAATGACAAACCATGCAAGCTAGAAAATGCCTGATTACGCGTGTGGCTTGAAAATTATGAAATCTGTGAAAATTTTGAAGAATTCGGCATATTGATATCTGATGAATGAACGCGAAAAAGATACGGGAGTTCAGCGAAGCAAGATGAGAAGTGGCTCCCCCTCAATGGGACCAGTTCATCCAGTGTCTTTCGAAGGCGGGTCTCGCATCGGCTCGGGTAATTCATTTTAGCACTCAGATCCGTATATGGACTAGCAACAGGCTCGACCACTCGTATCAATTCGTTCTTCTCCACCGTCAGGATGTAATTCCGCCACTATAGCGTTCTGCAATCTGTCGAAAAGAATGAATATCGAAAACGAGCTTTTCCATCGTAAACATAGCAGTGTAACGTAATAATTTGAAAAAACATTTAAATATTTAGAAGAAAATTTATCACACTTACAAGGAATCAATAAATGTACAAGGGAAAACATTAAATCGATATCTGAAAAATTGATAAATGTCATATTAACTTTGAGATTATCATATTAACGTTATATTTTCATATTGGAAAAATTAATAATTAGAAATATATACATATTATACGATTTATAATAATTCGATATGTAAAATAATTGTTATTAGAATAGTATTATTAAAAGTTACGTAGAGATAGTGACGATCGGTAGACGGAGACGAGACGCTTAGATAATGCAAGTTTATTTTGGTTTATTGTTGGTGTTGGAAGGATATAACATTACATCTCGAATTGTCGTAGACATGTTTCCAAAGACGATTGATCATTATATAAATAAACAAGCTATTTCTCAATATATTTGCAAGTATTACAATTTGAAATTGCAATATACAAAGATAGATGACGAAATGTCTGCAAACAAAAGTCTCTAAATAAATATATGTTAAAGAGAAGCCTTTTGATTTGGATATATATAATTAAAAAATTATTTTTTTATGAATAAGTAAAACAAGAACAAAGACGATCCGATTTTTCTTGTTTCTCCTTATCTAAGCAAGAAACACGCAATAGAAAAACATCTCCAATCTTAAATATATACGATATCGCTTTTTATATCTACAATTTAATTGACTTTGCGAAACAATCTATTTAATAAGCACAATTACAATTTATATCTTCAATAAGCGTTCCGTCTCCGTCTACCGATCGTCACTATGTAACGTTCAACTTTTAATAATATTATTCTAATAACAATTATTTTATATCGAATTATTATAAATCGTATAATATGTATACGACAAAGAATATGTCGTATCATTTTTTTATAATTTTTAAGCGGAATCCTCTTCGATAGAAAATAACCAATTAGTCTCTCACTTTGTAGACGCGAACGGTATCTTGTTACGTCTACGTGGACAACACGACGGGTTTGCTCCCGAAAATAAAGCTAAAACAGGTGTGGTCAATTTGGAAATAGAATAGGCAAGTTCGCGAATTGGCCTGAGACAACGCCCGATTTTGTCCCAACAGTTTTATGGAAAACATGTCGAGCCAAACGGAATGTGCATATAGCCGGTATATAATTTTATCGGATTATTACGCATGGAAATCGATTTACAATGATCGCGTATCCACTATCTTTACTTGTAAGATCTTGAAAATACCGCCGGCCCGCACAATGTTTCAATGCAAATCAATTTCGTAATTCGAAAGTTGTACGCGTTTAAATGTATCATCATCAGAAAATACTTAATATATTATATATATATATATATTGGGTCATCTAAAAACCGCGGATACTTTTTAGATGACCCAATATTTTTTATGGAAACTTAGAAAAATATAATACCTTCGATCGGGAAACAATAGTTCAGTTTAAAATTAATTTGCTCTGAAAATAACATGTGACCATAGAAAGTACCACGAGAGTGTGATATTTGATATCTTTACACGATTTGAAAAATGACGGCGTATCGACCGCGGGTGGGCGAATACGATACTACGTCGGCTCATTAGTCATCGTGGGAGAAAAATCAGTTGATCATTGTCGAATTGGGAACCAGGGAACTTCCTCTTTCCCAATGTCTCGTCGAAAACGTAACGTCGACTCGCCTCGCTTCGCCTCGCCTCACCTCGATTCGCAGTTACGTAAAGTCGTTTCGGCTGGTTAAACGACAGACCATGTACAGGAAGAAATTGTGACGTTTAATCGTAACAATTATTTCATCCGTCGCCAATATCGACAATATCACTGTACCCAGATAGCTTGTGATATTAATTGATCCTCTCCTGGTTTTCACGCAAGCGGCACACAATTTTGATGGACAATAATTCGGTTAATAATTCGATAAGCGCTTGGTGGCCGTCCCCAAATTGTTTTCTGCCTCTCGTTTTGATTAATGATACAACCAATTCGCCCCTTGTCCGCAATGCCGTCGCTAATTGCGAACGTTCTTCCCAAACGGGCTTCGTCTTCGAGTACAAAATAATGAGATACGGCGAGAGCGTCGAAAGTCATTTACAGATCCGATGATCGATGACATTGGTGCACGTTTATCCGCGCGCTTGTCTTTAAGCTTCCATTCCATCATTTTTAATTAAGAGAGCCGAGCTTATTTGCTTATCGCCAAAACGTCTTACCAGAATGTGGAATTCGTAATTATACTGGCGAGTCATTAATCTGCCTCTCCCTCCCCCCTCCCCCCTCTCTCTCTCTCTCTCTTTCTCTTGTCTTTACTTTGTAATACGTGAACTTAGAATCTGCTACTGCAATTATTTCATGTTATAAAAAAAAACAGTCTACTTTTTCGATAGCAACAGTGCAGACAAACGATTCTGGTTTTTATTTCTTATGTAACGTTCCAATGCGAGCGTGTACACTAAGACGGGTAAGAGAGAGAGAGAGAGAGAGAGCAGATATTTTCGTTCCAACCTAATTCAGTAGTTCTAGAGTTACATCCTAAATATAAAATCTAGCGCGCGTTCTGTCTGTAATGTTGTAATGCCTTGGTTAACCGATATACGGCCGATACTCAGCCATTAATAATCGGCTAATGACTGCAGCGATGATCGACAGGAAGCGATATTTTCATCGAACGCGTGCTCCAAGACACTTTTGTCCGTAGGAGGAATTTATTAAATCTGATATCTCTGTGAACGCGATTGATCAGAACGTTGCATCAGACACGATGGCGCAGTCGAACACGATCCAATCGGTTAACGATCCAGACAGCCATATTTTCTCGAATATGGCAATCGGAGGAGGGTTTTCTGTTCGATCTCGAGCAGACACGAGGAAAGAGGGGATCGCCATACGCGCGACGAAACGAAAGAGAGGAGGACTTCGTCGCCAAGTGGGAGAATTTTCACATCGGCGAAACTACCAATCGCGATTGCTGTATGTTACCTATAAGTGCGATCACGCGAGTAATTAAATCATACATTAAATCATAAATGAATTGTTGTGAATTACTAATTGATCGCGATTAGACTTACAGAATATTCATACGTTTAATGAAAGATTAAGTTTATCTCACAAGTAACGTTGCCTTTTATGTTGCAATTATCTGTAACAGGACTCACATTACTTCAAAATTAATTAAATTTTAAATGTCTGAAATTGTTCTTAAGAATAAATTTTCATCCAAGTTTACATTAAAACTGTGTAAGGTATTTTTTTTATCAAACATTATAATTGAGCTATAGGTAGAATTATCTAAGGAGGGAATTTAAGATTGAGCAATAAGAGGAAAGAATTTTCACATCTTAGAAGTAATGTACTGCCAATCACGATTGGCGAATGCGTAGTAATGGTGATAACAAGATATATAGGGAGTGTATTCTCCATTACATCAAAGCTGTTTCATATTCGAACTCACTAGTTGAGAAAAGTTTTACGACTATCTGGTCGATCCTTGATCGACCAATCAAAGTTCTAGAGAGAGAGAGGCGTTTGACGAGAGAAGGGAGAGAGAGAGAGAGAG